GTTGTCTTGTATTACATATAATTAGTTTCTATGTATGAAAAATGTATAAATGTATTATGATTTTCCAGAGGTATAGGTTGTAGTCATGTTGGTCTAAGGACATAGGCAGACAAGGTTCTTTGGGTAAATCTGATATCTTTTATTAGGCTAACTAAAAAGTTTGAAAAATTCTTCTTAGCAAGCTTTCAGATATAAATACCCTGAGTCAGGCTGAGGAAACATCTGCAGTTGGTGTGTACTCTTCCTGGATGGAGTTGATGGAAGAGCACACACCAACTGCAGATGCTTCCTCAGCCTGGTGAATGGTATTTATACCCGAAAGCTTGATAAGAAGAATTTGTCCAACTATTTGAGTTGGTCTAATAAAAGATATTATAATTTTACAGGTATAGAATCTAATTATTGAAGATTTGCCACAAATTTTGTTTCCTTCCCACTGCTACAGCAGGGAAAATAAGTCTGGGGGGGTTAGGTGCCCCCTTGTCCTCTGCCCCTACAACTTCTTCCCACTATAGCACCTCCCCTCCTTTACTGTCAGACCCTGCTCTCCCTAAGCACATGGAAGTGAGGGTCAAATTTGAAAACACTGACTTTGAAATAAATATGCCTGGAGTAATTTAGCTCCTTTTTTGAGACTCTTGCAAGTTTTAGCACGGGTACTCCATAAACATACTTTTAAAGCAGCACTTTTGTATCTATTTATATATAGTGCAACCTATGCATGATATTAGTCCGAAGTCAAAAGGCTCATGATTTACCATATAGTTCACTGCCCTGGGCCTCAGCAGAGTCAACAGTGTTTCAAATCATGGTGACCCTATAGTTCAACACTGCTCATTATCTGTGTGTATTCCAGGTACCCCCTACATGTATGTTTGGAGCCATATTTGGTGATGTTTGCCAGACATTTAAGGCTGGTGAAGAGACAGAAATAATTGGGAAAGAAAAGTCATAGCTTAGCTGTGGGAGTGAAGAGGAAGTTGAAATGTGTTCAGTGTAGTGGCTCACTATGACTTGAAACAGAGACAGGGACTGCGCACAATGTGCACCACCTTGTTCAAGATGGGCTATACTTTCTATCCTTGTAGTAAGTTCCCATCAAGAAATACCATGACCATGAAGGTGGCAGGGGGCAGTACCCTGACCAAGTAGGTGCCTTACAAATGGCTTTGTGTAGTGGAAGGTGCATCCTTGTCTGTTTGCAGACAGGACTTCCTATGAGAGCCTTATAGTTAGCTTCCCACTGCTCAGCTTCCAATGGGAGGATCTTGACTATGCACTGACTTTATGGAAATGGGAGACTCCTCCCTAGCTTGCTTCCGCAGCCATACAGCTGAGGGCAAGTGAAACTCAGGGGCATCTGAACCCCAAGTCTCCAGACTTGGGCCTGCATGTAGGGTATCTGCCAAAGGATTTGGAAGCATCTAAAGCCCAAGGCTGGGGTGGAGGATACTTGCTGGTAGCAGGGTCACATATGGTTTTTGGATGATTAAAATGATTATGGACCTGATCTGGCTAATTTGACCTGGAACAAGAAAAAAGTTCCGTTAAAAAAAAAAAAAAAAAAAGGTAAGTTCCCATCAGTATGTTTGCCTGACATGGGACATGTGTTTTATAGTTTTGCTCAGTATTGGCTGCATTTAATCAACTTCACAGTTTCTTTCCTTTACCAAGCACATGCTGCTTTTTGGCTGCAGTTTAGAAAGACAGTGTATTTAATGAAGTTTCCTTGTATGCAAATGTAAGACAGGATACTTTATACCCCATGCTAATTAAAGGAAAAAACCTCATCATATGTTCAAGTAAATACAGTATATGTTCATACAGGAGTTACTCTGGAATAACTGTTCCTGAATGGCTATTTCACTAAATATCCAAGTTTAGACAAGCATTCACACTTAAATTCCTGGCTGCTTTTACTGCTGTGTTCTCTGTTGCAGTTTCTCTTACTGTGAGCAGTCAAAAGAAGGATTCCATGACGGGGGACTGTCAGAAGCAACAGAGCAGATGGTGTTAAATCAGTATGCATCTCCTCTGATAGTCAGTCCTCTGACATTTTAACATTCTTTGTCAATTAACAGGTTGGATTACATTATCAGAATGACAGAGGGGCAGGATTATTTAGGAAGCAATAAAAAAAATCTTATCTGAAAGTTTCAATCTTTCTTCTCTTTGTGTAGACTCCCAATGTATTGGTTCATCCCTGGATCACTAGAATATAATTTCTGGCCATGATGCCAGCTGTGTTTCCATCTCAGATGCATTCAGAATGTATAAAGTGCAGTGATCATCTTCCAGGATTGCCATTCTGATATCATCACCTGTCTCTGTCCTTCCACTGCATCAAACCCAAGTTCCTTGTCTTTGTTTTTAAGGGCTGTCCACCATGTAGCCTCACTCTATCATACCTATTAGATTATTGTACTCTTGACACACACACACCAGCCATTGTTCTGCCAGTGAAGCAACCTATATAGTTAACTTTCCTGCTTCTCCTGGAAGCACCTCTTGCTTTCTCTTGTGCCATTTGCTATTCATGGGGAAAAAACTCATCAGAATTTGGAAAGTTGCCTTTTTCCACTTTTCCCTGCTGTATCTGATAGCTCCTTCAGATAGAAAAAGAGTGTCTGTAAACAGAGAATATATGTTCTGGAGACTATTGCTATTGTGGCTGATCAGTGGTATCCTTGGAATAAATCAGTCATTTGTGAAAGAAACTTTTGGAAATGGAATTGTGTTTTAATTTGATGTTTATGGAAAAGCATTTCTATTCATTATTTAAAATTCCTTAAAGATATGGGCACATTTTACCTATACTTTTAGAAGCCTACCTGCTAGATTATTTTTAAGCTATCAAATTTTCAAAACAGTCTTTAACTTAACATTATGCATCTTGCTTATTTATTGTTCTGGTTTGTATGTGCAGATAATCTTTCCCATATAATGTTCTTTCCCATATAACTATTGCAAAAACAATTTCACACAGATTCACAGAAGTTTAGGGCTGGCAGAAACAACTTTTTTCTTGCACAAATTAGACACAATACTTGCTGTTTAATACAACTCGGTACAAGTTTATTTTTATGAAACTCTTCTAAACTATTGCTTTATGTTGATTTCTTCTGCTGGAACTCTCAATTATCATACCTTAGTTGTTGCTTCTCTCCATGTTACAAAAAAAAGTAAAATTTCATAACTTAAATTAAAATATTCTGTTGTCTAGTCTGTTCAAGCCCTGAACATGCTTAGTTGACATCATGGCAAGTCAAGGAAATTAACAGTCTTTAAAGACCAGCTGTTTCTTGCTATTTCTGGCTGCTTTCCTTAGAAGAATTTCAGTTTTGGCAGCATAATAGACAAAAACACTATTGTTCTGGGATGTTGTTTCTGTTAACTGTTTGCTTCTTCTGTATTCCTATAGTGGAATATTAGTTAATGTTCATTGTTTTGTTAGATGTACAACATTGTAGCTCCTCTTGTGCTCTAGGTTATTTGAGTTTTCACTGGAAATAATGTTTTAAGGAGGCAGTTCTTTTCCATCACTCCACCATTTCCTCAAAGCATCTTTTTCTTTTCCCCCTTAGATCCATTGACAAACCTTGGTCTTAAAATTATGCCAAAGCACTGCACTTCATGTATATCAAGAGGCGTTCTAGACAGGAAAGATTGAAAATCCCTCTTCAGAATCCCACTAGTTCACTTACTTCTTATAAAGTGCAGCATTGATGCAACACTTCATGTTTCAAAGCTACATGCATTTGTTAACGTTTGCCTGCAGCACCATGTGACTTACAAGGAAAGAAGTTGAGTCTCACTGTAACCTTGAGCAAATAATTTAACTGCAAAGGGATATGCTGGCAAAACATATTAGAACTGTGGAATTCTTAACCTCCAAACTTGCACTCAATCCACTAGCAAGTGCTGTAGTGAAATGAGGCAGTGACTGTTGAGCAATATGAGGCACTCCTGTTAATCCGTTCTCTGAGGCAAAGTATTGTCAATGCAGAACTTGATTATTGGACCATTAAGTCAGACCTTGAGTCATTTTAATCTTTTTTGGTGTCTGACCATTGTCGAAGAATTTTTTGTATCAGACTTCTGGTTACATAAAAAAAACCCTGGATTGCTCAAGGGTGCTTATTTCTTTTAATGCATTAAAGTAGTCCGACTACCAATATTTCTTCTTAAAAACAAGTATATCACATCTTCAAAAAGTCTCAGACCAAAGAGAATGATATTTCATTTTCTGAAAAAGTTACATGTTTTAACTGTAATAATAGTTTTGGTCAGCATTTATCAGAAACATACTTGATTAAATCTAAAATTATAGCCTTCCGTTTCCCCCAGAGAAGACATTTTATAATTGTATTTTGTCTCCAAAAATATTTTGGGCAAAAAAATGTTAAATAGGAAATTTCAAAAATAAAACATTTAAAATAATGATCAAAAACATTTTATGCTTAATGTCTAGTAATAACTAACTTTATTTTGCGCATTTCATTACTTCTGTGACTTTATTCAGCTTATATATCTTAAAGAAAAAAAAAAGTTAGAAGGACTCTTTCTTCTCACTTCTGAAGTGTACTTTCTGAGCCACAGTGTTTAAAAGCATGCATAATTCATGTTTGTCCTGGCTCTGATACTTTGTGTGTGCTTTGTTTTGCAAAAGTAAAATAACTCTGATCACATAATTGTGAATCTTTTTAGGATGTTTGTATAATTATTTTCTTTGTAATTAAGGCAGGCAGACATTTTTATTCTTCATAGTGCCTAATTGAACAAACAAAATATACTCTGCTTTTATACATCATGAAATTAACGTGCAGTTGACTTCCTGTGCCTTTGGATTGTTGTCATGATTAGAAACTTGTGGAGGAGGAATTGGAAAAAAAGATGTGTGGGGTATACAAAAATTTCTGTCATTCCAAATGTGAATCATACTGCATTTTTCAAACCTTATCAGCTTTTGTTCTTTCTAATATTAGCATTTTTTTCTTTAGTCACCTTTCCGCACCTTGCAGGTTCTGCTCCTTCATGGCCTAGTCTTGTGGAAACCAGCAAGCAGTGGGATTATTATGCACGAAGGGAGAAAGAAAGGGAACGAGAGCGAGAGAGAGACCGAGAAAGGGACCGGGACCGGGATCGGGATCGTGATAGGGAACGAGATCGGACCAGAGAGAGAGAGAGGGACCGAGATCATAGTCCAACTCCAAGTGTGTTCAACAGGTTAGTATAAATACTTGACTGCAGTAGTCAAGACATACATTTTTTGTGCGTATCAAATAATGTGCTTTAACATTTAAAGTCTTGGTGTGCAGCTAGATATTCTTAAGGGACAGGAAGGTGTGGTTCTCCTTCCTCTTTGTTTCCTGTTGAGAACTATACCAAAAAATTTCAGATGTAAAATAGAAGTGTCACATTTTTGATTTAAATTATTTGAAGTGCAGAAAGCATTAAAAAAAAGATTTAGGGTTTATGCTTGATCTCATTAGTTCCACAGACATCCATAGAAGTATTGAATGAATCTTCGTTCTATCACTGTTACTTTGTAATTGGAATTCCTAATTCTCTGCCAAAAGCAGTGTCCTGCAACAATTGACCCTAATTTGAAGCAATGGTGGTATTGGCTACTAAAAGGGGGTTAGTTTGTTTGGTGGATTTTGTGATTAGTTCAGGATGAATAATGGTGCGTCTTTGCTATTTATTTGTTAACAAATTTTATTAACAGGTTTTACTCTTAAGGTCAAAAATATTTTTTTGTTTCCAAACAGATAACTTTTATTGGGATTTTGACTCTTAACAGTTTTTATTTTTAAGTGATTAAACTCAGACTCTGTTGAGACCTTTGGTTTGTTTATTTGTAAAACCAGAGAATGTATCAGGTTGAACTGGTTGTGACAAGAACAAGCCGCGCACAAGAGCGAGCACATGCTATTAAAGATGATTTGGGAGCTATCACTAATTGTCTGATATTGTGGAGTGTGAGAAGAACACCAGGAGTCAGTGTTACCTTAGTTCAGACAGTTTGGCAGTGTTTTCCGTTATCTATTGATACAGGCAAAAGAAAAAAAAAAAAAATTAGGTGCAAGAAATCTTATTTTTTATTTTGTGCAAACACTGACATTGTGGCGGTGATGTCCCGTACTATGTGTATGTTTTATATTACAAATTACAAGGTCAGTTTTTAAGAACTTAAGACCAGTTTAAACATCTGTTTCTCAGGCAGTTTGAGTGAAGGCCAGAAAGAAGGCTGGTCATTCAAGGGTGCTTGAAATGAGCCTTAATGGCTTCCAGGCCTGGAGAAGTCTCTGTGCTGCTGCCAAAGTTATCAGTTAGGGAGGGGGAGGAGGAGACCTCATCTTTTTTATGAGACTAAATTATCCACCATCTGCAGCAAAGCTGCTGCCACATGGCTATGTAAGAAACCAAGAGCCCCTTAACTTGTTAAAAAAAAAAAAGTTGGCTTGTGAGCAACAGAGAAGGTAGGAGAAGGTTTAATGAAGACAGACCATGCACACACAACAGTGTTGGGTTTTTTTAAAGGTTTATTTCCAATTTCGTTCAGTTTTTAAAAATGAAACCACCTATAAGGAGGAGGAAGAAGATGAACTATTTCAGGAAGCACAAATATGTTTCTTTTATTTTAGGGACAAAGTACTTATCTGTGGTGTCATAGAGAAGTAGGGCTAGAAGGGACCTCCAGAGGTCATCTAGTCCAACCCCCTGCTTGAGGCAGGATCATCCATATCCAAAGCATCCCATACAACCATAATCTAAACCAGGGGTAGGCAATCCCTGGTATAGGTGCCAGAGCATGGAACGCAAAGGCATTTTACTGGGCACATGGACAGCAGGAAAGGGGCTGGAGCTGCACTGCCACAATAAGGGTTGGGTCCCTTGGAGCTCTCCTGCTGTATGCCCCTGGCATGCTAACATCTTACAATTTGAGGTTGCAGGTGCTTTTGGCATTCTGCCCAAAAAGGTTGCTGACCTTTGATCTAAGTTCTACATAAGACTATCCTCAACCCTGACACAAAATAGGTCTAACACCCTAACCTACCACAAGTAAAGCAGGGGAACCACAGCAGCCAGTGGCCTGCTTTTTAAAAATGTTGTCAGTATACATTTAAGAAGTCCTAGGCAGAGGGCCAGCGCGCGCGCGCACACACACACACACACACACACGCACACACACACACACACACACACACACGCACACACACACACACACACACACACACGCACACACACACACACACACACACACACGCACACACACACACACACACACACACACGCACACACACACACACACACACACCCCCCCCGCAAAGGAAGGAAAAATTACCACAATTCATGTTGCTCTGACCATGGGATAAAATTCCTTCCTGACCCCAAATATGGCACTTGGTCTGACTCTAAGTGGAGGGACAAAACCCTGTAGTCAGGAACCCTCTTTCTTTGTTCCTAGCAGGAGAATCAGCACACCTCAGTTGAAGTCCCCAGCCTCAGCTGTAGCCAACACCCAGTGCCTCTCGGAAGGGTTAAAAACACACTGACACATATAGCAGAAAAAAAGCAGGGGTGGGGCACAACCAGCAAAGCCCAGAAGCATGGGAAATACCCATAGTAGAACATAGCCATAGCTACACCTAAATCATCCCCAACCAGTGGCTGTCCAGCCTCTTCTTCAGCACCTCCACTGATGAAGAGTTCACAGTTTCCCTAAGCAGTCTATTCCACTGCCTTACTATTCTCACAGAAGAAGTTTTTCTAAATTTATTTTGCTGCAACTTCAATCCATTAGTCAATGTCTGTATGCAGCAAGAGAGAAAAGGTTCTTTCTCTCTTTTGTGGCAGCCCTTCAGGTATTTGAAGATTGCTATTATGGCCCCTCTTAAGCAGTGTTTCCTCTAAGGAGCAGCGGTCCATGAGCGTGCTGCCTCGGTCCAGCATGGGACACTTACTGAAGGGGGCCGGAGGCTGGGGCCAGGGGCTGGAGGCTGGAGCCGGGAGGGAGCCAAAGGCTGGGGCCAGGGGCTGGAGCTGGGAGCTGTAGGCCAGGGACTGGGGCCTGGCACAGGAAAGTGCTCTGCTCCGCTCCCCCGCATCAAGGCTGGGGAGTAGTGCACTTCCTGGAGCCAGTGGAGCCCGTGCCAGCCGCCCGCGCCAGCCTCCGTCCCTGCCTTGCCTCACCTCAGGGAGGAGCTGCTGCCTACCCCAGTGAGGCTCCACCAGCTCTGGGACAGTGCTCCACTCCCCAGCCCTGATGCCACGTGTCTCCTCACTCCCTGAGGCAAAGCAAGGAAGTGGAGCAGTGCCCTGGAGCTGGCAGAGCCTCACTGGGGCAGGCAGCAGCTCCTCCCCAAGGTGAGGCAAGGCAGGGGTAGAAGCTGGGGCAGGGGGCTGGTGCGGGCTTCGCTGGCTCCAGGGACGTGCTCCGCTCCCCGGCCCTGATGCAGGGGAGCGGAGCACTTCCTTGGAGCCAGTGGAGCCCGCACCAGGATCCCACCCAAGCTTCTCCTGGTGTGCAGCCTTGAAAAGGCTGTGTGCAGCCATATTTAGTTGTGCGTGGCCACGCACCCTAGAAGGAACCTTGCTCTTAAGTGCCTTTTCTGTAAGCTGAACATGCCTAGCTCCTTCAGCCTGTCCTCGTATGACTTGCCTTCCAAGCCCCTTATCATCTTAGTTGCCCACCTCTAGACCCTCTCTAACTTCTCCACATCCTTTTTAAAAATTTGAAGCCCAGAACTACACACACTACTCTATCTGAGGCCTAACCAATGCCAAGTAGAGGTACTGTCACCTCCCATACAGCATTCCCTCTAAGCTGTGTGGCCTGCATGGCCGCACAGGCACACCTGGCAGTGCAGCATGAGCACGCCTGCATGACCGCGCACACCACGCAGCTTAGAGGGAACGCTGTGTCTTGCATCTAATGCTTCTGTTGATGCAGCCGAAAACCACATTGGCCTTTTGTGCAGCTGCATCACACTGCAGACTCGTATTGAGTCTGTAATCTACCGAGACTCCCAAGTCCTTTTCCATACAGGTGCCATCCAACCAGGTGTCCCCCATTTTGAATTTGTGTTTTTGATCATTCCTCCCAAGCTGTAGTATCTTGCATTTGTCTGCATTTAACTTCATTCTGTTAGCTCTAGCCCAGCTTTCCAATCTGTTGAACACCTTCTAAATTGTGCTCATAACTTCCAACATGTTCAGAGTTTTTTCTAGTCTCATGTTGTCTGCAGACTTTTTGAAGAAGTTTTCTATGCCAGATCTAAATCATTAATAAATATATTGACCAGCACCAGGCCCAGGACAGACCCCTGTGGAACTTCACTCAACCTGCAGGACCAGCCATTTGCGCGAGGGCCTGGGCTGCCCCCCCCCCACACACATGCCAGGGGACCCACTGTGGTCCAGATAAAATCCCTTGGTAGGCTGGATCTGGCTCACAGATGTTTTGCCGATCCCTGATGTAGTTAGAAACCATGTGTAAAATCATAAAGAACTCTTTAGTTTGGAAGTGGGACATGCAGTACTTGTGTCTGTCCCTGGAAATTGCAGTCATATTGGTCTTGTAAAAAAGTGATTAGTGATTTTAAATTTTTTTAGTTTTATTTTTTTTAATGTATAGCAACTTCTGGCTGAATACTGTGCCTTTTCTCTTGGACTGATAAGATGTAAGACCTCAAAGCATATAGCTACATGGTATGAGGCAAAACCATGCAGAAATCAGCAAGCTAGATTTGCGTATGCTAGCTTCTGTATCTCTCCATAGCAGACTTGCGTTTTTACAGGTGCACCCCTGCTGTCCAATAAAGAAGGATTAAAAACCAATAGTAACAGTAATACTAATCCCCCTACCACAGGGGTGGGTAATTATTTTGGCTGGAGGGCAGCTTAATGAGTTCTGGAGTTTTGGAGAGCCACAAGGGTAGCCCTGCCACTTGACAGGTGCCTCACCCCCTCGTTGCCATCCTGAGACCAGAAGCCCTGCCCCTCACCCCTAGGACTTTTGCCACCAGAAGTCCCTCCCCTTGCCCCCCCAGAAATATCACTTTTGGGCGGGGAGGGGTGCCATTTTGGAACCAGAAAGAAACCCAATCATGCACTAAAAGTCAAACACCTACTATAAGATAATTTCATTTTATTCCAAAAAATATTTTTGTCATGTTTGCGTTTGCAGTGTGTATATATAGGTAATTGAGGTAATTGCATAACAACTCAAAAATAAAGTCTTACTTTCGTATATTGGGTGGGGGGTGGTTGGCGTTCTAATGTTCTGTGCCTGTATGGCAGGTTGTGGTCGGGTTCTGAGGGGCTAGGGCTCTGTGTGGGGGGGTATGTGGGAGAGCTGTGGGGGCAGGGTGTGGGGAGGTGGGGACCCCCACAAGCCCCCCCAACCTTGGTGCACCAGAGGCGGCAGCAGCAGGGAAGGGCACTCAGGGTGCTTGTGCCTGGTACAGGGGCTGCTGCCCAGAGAGACCTTGTTTCCCCTAGCGCCCCCTGGCATAACAAGGAATAATGGACACAAGTTGTTGGAGAGTAGGTTTAGATTAGACATCCGCAGGAACTACTTCACAGTTAGGGCGGCTAGGAGCTGGAACCAACTTCCAAGGGAAGTGGTGCTGGCTCCTACCCTGGGGGTCTTTAAGAAGAGGCTTGATGCCTAGCTGGCTGGACTCATTTGAGTCCAGTTTTTCTCCAGCCCAGGCAGGGGGTTGGACTTGAAGATCTACAAGGTCTCTTCCGACCCTACTTCTATGATTCTATGATGTGGGGGCAAGGAGCACAGCCAGGCCAGTCCATGCTATCACTCTGGGCTCCTGCATGTGCATACCACCAAGGGAAGCCCCACACACTGGAGCCAGAGGCCTTCTCCACCTCCTGCTATGCAGGTCCCAGGACTCTGCGGGAAAGCAGGAGCCAGGGCTCCCCTCCACTTCCAGTAGAGTCTTGGGATCTGGGCAAAAGTGGGTGGGGAAGGCAGGCAACTCCAGCCTATGGGGCTTCCCCCGGTGGCGCACAAGTGTGGGAGCTGCACATGCACTGCACAGAGCCCCATGCAATAGAGGTAGGCTGGCCTGGCCACACTCCTCCCCCCCATGTGTAGCAGGGGCAGTGTGCCATGGGGGAGAGTGTGTTGGGGGTCCCCATATGCGCCCACCTGAACTTCATGCTCCTGCCACCCCCCCCTGGGTGTGGGCTCCCTGCTGCCAGCCCCACCCCCACACTCTGTGCTCCCACCCAGCTGCAGCTCCCCCACCCCCACCGCTGCCACTTCCCTACCTGCTTCCCGGAGCGAACAGGATGCCAGAGAAGCCGAGCAGGTCCCCCGATGGCTGCAGCAGTGGCAGCAGCAGCCCCACCCAGAAGCTGTGTACTGGCTGAGCTGGGCCCTTCTGTGTACCAGGGTTGGGGGTGTGCGTGTACATGTGGGCGCCTCACTCTCACTCTAGTGGGCAGAAGGGCTGGGTCAGATACAGTTCATTGGTGAGTGCCTGTGGGCCAAATGAAATTGCAGGGCCAGCCAGATGTAGCCCACAGGTTGTATTTTTGCCCTACTGTGTTTTTCTAAACTCTGGTAAATAGATTTTCTAATGCTCTGGAGATGCACTTTAGGTGCTGAAAGTCTTTGGACTGCTCTGCTTCCACTGAGAAGTGCCTTACCATAGTACCATTAGCGTATTGTTCCTTTTAGGTTTAATTAGCCCTGCCTCCTGTACAGCATTGCAAACCTGGGCTGCCCCCGCCCTCTTTGCTTGCAGTATAACATGTTTCGGAAGCAGGTTGATATTTGCAGAATTTTTCTGCTTAGCTCTGGCTTTGCTGTGAGCTTTGACTTGGCAAGGTTTGATTTGTCCTTTTTTTATTCCCATCTAAATGCACGTGAAGAGAATAAATACTCTGTGGAACAGGGATTTTGTGAAGACTTTTTCGCTTTCCAGCAGCCCATAGTAGAGTGGAAATTGAGGTAAACTCATCCATTTCAATTTTATTATGCTTCCACTACAGAAGGGAAGCGGTTTCCAAGACACAGCACTTTGGGATTCAGCAGTGTTCACTTAGAAACTGCTTCCGCTTACCTGGTGGGATGTGGAGCACTTCAGAAGAACAAGTGTGTGCTGCTCATCCAACAGGTTATGTGATGACTCTAGCTGACTGATTCATGTCCATTAATCCCCAGGTTGGTCTTGGAAGAGTCCGATTTCATAGATTCATAGATTCATAGATTAAGGGTCGGAAGGGACCTAGTAGATCTTCTAGCCCGACCCCCCGCCAGGGCGGGAGA